AGGGAAACTGCCCTTGTTATGATCAAAGCTGAATTGGAACCAAATTACACTATTCAGTCCATTTCTGTCTCTGTCTCGTATTTAGCTTCTCCCTGACACTGTTCTGATATTCTGGTAATGATTTCTGTAGACCAGTCAGCAGCTGAGGACAGCTAGGGCAGCCAGCATCACAGTCTTTTGTTTGAAAAGTCTGATAACGAGGCATTCCAAAGCGAAGATGCTGCTCTCAAGTATTCCCTTTAACTTCACTTGGGGGAGCCTAAATTTCTGCTTCTGTAGGTACCTTGCACAAGTGCCTCTCTCTTTATGCTTCAGACAGAGATAAGTGATGTTTTACACATTTCAAGTGTGTGATCAGAAATTCACAGCTCCATGGATTTTAAGGCCAGAGAGGCTGTTGCATTAATCTAGTCAGAGCTAATGCGCAGCACAGATCTGGAAACCATCTTCAACTACTTCCCGCTGCAAGTCCAGCAGCTGAAGCTTCACTAGGATCTAGCTCTTAGAAAAACACACAGCAGTTTAAGATGAAGTTTAATAGTCTTTCAGGGGAAAACTCACCAGAGCTTCGGGGTGGCTTGTTCCAATTAGTAACTTTATCCAGTGATCAAATGGGTCTATTGTTTCTCCATTTAATCTGTCTACCTATCGTTTACAACAATTAGTTCCCAATAAGCTTTGTGAGCCCAAGACTGTAATATCCTCTACTATCAAATAGCTGTCCTTCTTATCAGTATTTACAGACCATGATTAAGTTATGTCTTAACCTTCTTTTTAATAAACTACGTAGATTGAGTCCCTTGAGTCTCCCATAAAACATGAGCTCTGATTGTTTACTTACTCTTTCAGATACTTCCTGAATTGTGCCCAATTTCTAAACTTCTTCCTTGAAGAACAGACACCTCAACCAGATATGTTGCGTTTCAGCAGTTTTTGCAACAAAACAATGACAGTTATTACATGACTTTCTGTAGCAAAAGGGGAAAAGACAGAGGAAAAAAAGGAAGGAATTACAGAATGGGGAAGAAAAGAAGAATGAAAGAGGTTAAAGAGAGGCAAAATAACAACTGAAAGAAAATGAAGAAGGAAGGAAAGACTCAAAGTAGGACAAGGTAGTAAAGAAATAAGTAGCTATTGAAACAGAAGCTCAGGAGGAAAAAAGAGATGACGAAAAGGCCATGCAAAGCAGTGCCTATTTACAAGTAGTGCCTATTTACAAGTACTCTTTCATAAGTAATCCTGGCAGTTCCAAGGGACTGACGCTGGATCCTGCTACCCATCCCTCCACTCATCCATTTCAGGCAATCAGTGATCTCCAGCAGTGACTGCTGCATGATCCTCCCTGCTTAAGAACACACACGACACCTTTGCAGAATTTTTCATAAGCAGAGGTCATTAGCACCACAAGGCACTAAAACACCCAACCAACCTCCCCAGAACCCACCACCCATGGTTCAGTTGAGCTCTACAAAAGAAACATGGAAGGGACTATGTCTCTTCCCATCCCCCCACCCTGGAAATACCTGCCTCGCTTCAAGGCCAACACTGGAGGACTCAGTCAGAAGAAGCAAAAGGCACATACATACAAAGCACACATATGGAGCTCTGGGCTCCGGTCATCGAGCCTGGGACATCTGTGGCTTTCTCCGGATGCCTGCATGTTCAACTAATTAGCCCAAGGCCAGCTGTTCCCTTCTTGCTCCTCACCCTTTATGCTCCCATTGCTTCTATCACCACTCTCTGTCCAAAGAGTATTTCGTCTGGTGGATCATCAACAGAACAGGTTTTCTTGTTGTTGTTTATTCTTTAAAAGGAGGGAGTGGAAGAGAACTGGCGAGGCGGTAAAGCAGAAAGGACTCTTCTGAGTACGTCTCACGAGACACCTCAATGTTTCCAAACTAGCTTTTGCCACATCAGAGGACAGATTTGCTTTAACCTTTATATTCTGAAGTTATAAACTCCAAACGCTTGTGCTGGTACTGAAAATGCAACCATCAATAGTGAACCTGCCTGTTCAGGAAAGCTTTACGGACACATTCAGCTCTTGTACTCTGGGCCTAATTTCCCTCTCAGTGATCCAGAAGTAATTCAGGGAAATTAATGAACCCTATTTCAATCTCAAGATGCTCCTCCTATAATGCACTCCTTTCTGAAATCCTGCTGCGGATTTGTGCTACAACAAGCCAGAGGTACTGTGAGAGGCAGGTCTCCACATCAGTGGGGGTTACCACAGTGCAGTTGAAGAAATCCAGCTGAAGCCTCTTCCAGTTGTGTGAAAGCAGGAGTGAGAACAGAACCAGTCCTTATGTTCTCATCTGTGAAATTGCATTTGTAGCTTTGCCCCAAAACCAGGCTCCAAAACAAGCCCAAGCTGGAGCTGGGAAAAGAACATGGCTCCCCAGCCTGTGTTTAGCAAGTAAGGGCATGACAAAGCAAAAGGCTCGTGTGTGCATCGAGCAGCCCTGTCCTTTGACAGGGCAGCAAGCGCTTGGATGATACATTTACTGCAGCTTGCGCTGCATCGTGCCTGCATGTGTATCATCTCCATAGCAGCAGTTCTGCTAATTGAGACCAGCTGCTTAAATTCCAAATTCTTCTCTCCAGAAATATCGATACTACAACGTTATGATTAGAAAGCACTTTACCAAATGCCTCTCAATTCTGCACAGCTCAGATGAAGAGCAGCTGCAGAAAGAAGGGACAGTTCCCTGAACAGAATAAAACACTGGAGAAATGAAGGCAAGTCAAAATAGAATAATGATGACAGAGAAAGCAGCCTGTTGTGTACGCTTGTGACTCTCATTTTAGATGTTGAAAGCACTGCAAGCAGACTTCTTCCTTATGCTCTAGGATAAATGGCCACAGCACTGCAGCGTTACAGCTTTGCGCGGCAGGTGTGTGTATTTGTCTAATCCAGTTTTTCTGTCCAAGAATGCATTAAAGCAAAATCCATCAATCTGGGCTTGGCTCGGGAGAGTAGCTGTGGCCTTGCATCCTTTGGCTCCAGGGACCGCTCTGCACGGCCCACTGGCAAAGAGAGTCACTGGAACTGAAAAGCTAGTGGGAAGATTTGCGAAGTAGGAATGCCACCACACCACCACGACTTGGCTTCACTCTTGGCTATTTCCCTGCGGTTGCTGACTCCACGCAGCAAGCTGTCAGCTGGATGCTTCGCAATGGTCACACCGGGATTGCCAAAGACTGCAAGCAATTTGCCCTTTCAGCCAGGCTGGATTAAGCTGGCTAACAGTACAGTCAATTCCAAATTCACTTAGAAGTCTTACACCCTGTCTGTGACCATCACACACAGGGCATTCCTGAAAAGACATCTGGTTACTGAGTTTATGCAAGAACCGGGCAAACCACTTCAATCCCATCTGTTGTTCCAACCTCCTGAGCACAAAGAGCAGAATCCTTGAAAGAGAAAATCTCACCGAGAATGGTCTGAAATTGAGAATCATGATACAATGCGTGGTTTCCTCCTAAGAAGGATGCTGTACTACCTTATAGAAAACATGGCACACTTCAGCATGCGGCTGTGTAAACAAGGGCCTAGCACACCGTTTCACTACTTAGATTTCATACTACAACTGAGGTAATGCAACACAACTAAAGCAGAGAGATCACTTTGCTATGCTAAGTGATTTGCCTCCTACTCTGAAAATCAATGAGGTAAATAAAATGGTTTATACAGATACCAGACAATGTCTCTCAGCAAACAAAATGCTCATGTTTTTAAAAAATATTCCTACTATGTGACTCTGGAAAATATCCAAAGCGTTTAGAGTCTTGTTCAGCTTTCACCATTTATATACTTTGTTTGCTTTCATTGTGTTCCATTCATCCACTGAATCTCCCTTTAAAGTTGCAGTTTTCTTACCTATTTCACTTTCTAACTGCTGGTCTATATTAAGAAGACTGACTGAACCCACAGTACTGCAGGAGAGGGAATACTTCAATGAAATTCCAGGAACGTAAGTCTGAGCGCATTACAATTGAATATAAACATTAAGAATCCTTCTCTGAAAAAAAAAACCACCTTACACTGTATGCGTAACATTCACTGACTGCATATTCCTTTAGTTTCTGTTTTTCTTCTGCTCCTAGGAAGGCTGCTATATTTAATTGTGATGGAAACAGCTGACACAGAAGTACATATAAGAAACAGCAGTGTAAAGATATATGCTCCACATGCTGTAGGGAAGTTACCTCAATAAAGTGCTCTAAGCTGCATGCAGACCTCTTAGTGTCATTTGCAGGTGACAGCTTGATGGAATTCTGTTGATTGCAGTGCAGTTGTGCTCCCTCTCATCAAGCTGAATTTAGCCTTCCTAGTCACCAAATCACATGAATAAACTTCTATGCATATATTTATTTTATTTTTAGGTTTCCAAGATCAATCAATGACACTCATGTAAGGAGACGGATATCACAAGGCTAGGTAAAAACCGAATTAAGCTCTTCTGAATACCACAGTCATTGGGACCGTCGGGACAGACGCTTTGAGGGTTTCCAGTGGCACAGCTCTGTGGATTGTTAACAGAATTACAACAGCTTTAACCAGCCATGGACCTCGGCGCATCAGATCATAACGAACCCATGCAGGAGAGCAAGCAGTAGGAGTATTCAAACAACAGATTTGCCAGCCTCTCTTAAATCTCTTCCTGCTGACATTTGTACACCTCAGTCTGCAATGTACCACAACTATTATGCACTGCTGCAGTGGTAGATGTCAGATGCCCGACACATGTCTGCCCCAGCAGAGAGGCAACAACTCTGCAGCTGACCGTTTATTTTGTTCACAAAGCACAGGCATACTCCTATTTAATTTCAGCTACCCTAGCCTCCCCCATAACTAAATTACTGTTATTATGCTCCACATAATCCTAGTACTGACAGGGATGTTTGTTATACGTAATTAAAGATATTAATTTTGCATGGAACAGAAGACACAGCGCCAAAAACTTTTTTTTTTTTTAAATCTCCTGTTAGAAAATTACCTTCATTAGCACCGACTCGCTGAGCTTCTCTCTGTTGACAATTTTTATCGCAACCTTCTGACATGTGACACAGTGAACCCCCAACTTCACAAGACCTGCAGCAGAAACACAGCAAAACAGAAAGGAATAATTGGTTAGAGATAGTTGCCGTTGAGATTCTTGCTATTACTATGCCACCCAGCAGTTGGCAACTTATATGCAAACAAATTTCCACTCGGCCCTCCTCCAGCCAGATAAGGTCTTGTGCGTAACGAAGACCCTGCAGCCCACACTGTGACCATTTGGCAGTGAAGCTGCCAATATCCTTCATGTTGCTGCAGTTTCTGCCATTAAAGCTGTATTTTTGTTGAAGCACGGTATTCCAGGTCTCACCACTCAAAGTACCTTCTACCAGTAAGAACTAAACTTCTGTCAATTTACCTGCACTAGGCTAGGGCTTTTGCCAACATCTGACATCAACGAAAGCTCAGAAATCAACAAAACTAGATGGTCAAAGGTCTGCAGTGTAGACATGACCTCTACATTTTTCTACCTCCTTCCAAACCTTTCATGATCATAATAAAAACATACTTAATTATGCTGTTTTAATTTAACACTGTGATGAATGCCATTGTAGCATGGAGGCACATCAACATATGCTGATACAATTCTTAAGTTCTTATTTATTATTTACTATATCCTTGTCCTCGTATAACTTGAAGTGCTGTTAAATTAATATATTGGCAAAAGGATATGGATATCCCAGACAGGATCCGCATGTCTGAGCTGTCATGAAAATATGGAACAAAACTCCAGGAATTAAAAGAAAGAGGTAAGCAACATACATGAGGCATTATTCTGCTAAATTTTGATATAACTCTGATGGCTTCCATGAAAGTACATTGAGATGTCTCCCATAAGTGAGTTTAAGATGGTCCCCTGAGCTCTTAACTCTATTGCCATTAAGAACATTTGTATCCAGAAAAATTGTACTTTGTAGGTCTATTCAAGTGAGATCTTGTTTGTGTCGAACATGCACATGCAGCACAACACCTGATAGGTTGGATCCCATCCCACTCTACATGCAGTATGCCAAATTGCCATTTAGTTTAATTCAGTTATAACTGAAGTAAGAAGAAATGGCATCTCCCCGGTACCACTGAGACCTGCTGGGCTTTGCAGAGCATTTCTGAGCAATGACATCACACAGGAAGAAAAAGCTTCGCTCAGCTCGCAGCTCCTAGGTTGAGTTGCAGCGAAGATCCTGACCCAATCCCCTGGCACAAACCACAAAGCCAAACACTGCTTTATCTGCAAATTGAACACAACAGATCTGCAGTCCAGCAAAACAATGAACACGGGACTTCACACTTTTTATTAAGGGATGAATATTTGGATTATTGCCTTATTACAAACTGTCCCCAGTGAAATGAACTGGAGTTTTATCAGTGACTCCAGCAGTCTCCTGAAGATACTTGTCCATCTCTGCCACACAGTTAATCATAAATTTGAAACTATTAATCACTGGTTATTTTCCTCCTGGAAACTATGCTAGGGTACAGGCAAAATAATGAGGTGATTGGTGACAGCCAACATGGCTTCACTAAGGGCAAATCCTGCCTGATGGATCTGGTGGCCTTCTACGATGGGGTTACAGCGTTGGTGGGTAAGGGAAGAGCGACTGACATCATCTACCTGGACCTGTGCAAAGCATCTGACGCTGTCCTGCACAACATCCTTGTCTCTAAATTGGAGAGACATGGATCTGGTGGATGGAGCACTCTGTGGATGAGGAATTGGCTGGGTGCTCACACTCAGAGATCTGTGGTCAGTGGCTCCATGTCCAAGTGCAGAGCGGTGACGAGTGGCGTTCCTCAAGGTCGGGGCTGGGCCCGGCGCTGTTCAACATCTTTGTGGTGACAGGGACAGTGGGATCGATGCACCCTCAGCGAGTTCCCTGGCAGCACCGAGCTGGGTGGTGGGGGACACGCTGAGGGCAGGGGTGGCATCCAGAGGGACCTGGGCAGGCTGGAGAGGGGGGCCCGGGCAAACCGCATGGGGTTCAACAAGGCCAAGGGCAAGGGCCTGCCCGTGGGTCGGGGCAATCCCCAGCACAAACCCAGGCTGGGCCCTCGAGGGGTGGCTGGAGAGCAGCCCCAAGGAGAGGGACTGGGGGGGTCGGTGGGGGGAAAACTGCCCGTGAGGCAGCCCCGTGCGCTGGCAGCCCAGAACCCACCCGTGCCCGGGGCTGCAGCCAGAGCAGGGGGGGCAGCAGGGCCAGGGAGGGGATTGTCCCCCTCTGCTCCGCTCTGGGGAGACCCCCCTGCAGTGCTGGGGCCAGCTTGGGGGCCCCCAACAGCAGAAGGACCCGGAGCTGCTCGAGCGGGGCCAGAGGAGGCCACGGAGATGCTGGGGGGGCTGGAGCAGCTCCCCTGGGGGGCCGGGCTGAGAGAGTTGGGGGGGTTCAGCCTGGAGAAGAGAAGGGTCTGGGGAGACCTTCGAGTGGCCTCCCAGGGCTTAAAGGGGGGACAGGAAAGGTGGGGAGGGACTCTGGATCAGGGGGTGTGGGGATAGGACAAGGGGTAACAGTTTTAAACTGAAAGATTTAAATTAGTTATAATGAAGAAATCCTTCCCTGTGCGGGGGGTGAGGCGCTGGCCCAGGGTGCCCAGAGCAGCTGTGGGTGCCCCCTCCCTGGAAGGGTTCAAGGCCAGGTTGGATGGGGCTGGGAGCCCCCTGGGCTGGGGGAAGGGGGCCCTGCCCGGGGCAGAGGGGTTGGAACTAGGTGATCTTACAGGTCCCTTCCAACCCAAACCATTCTAGGATTCTATGACTATACAGAGCAATAAAGTCCCAACTTCCTTCCATTCACATCTCTTTTGTGGTGTGCTCAAGTGTTGTGGATATTTCTAGTCACATAACTTTTCAGTCTCATCTGGTTAAATACTGACATCCTTACTTTCAGCCATGACATAAACAAGTCACAAAAATTAATAATGCAGCACACTGACAAATCCACCTGAATTGTGTATAGCATTATACAATTGAAACTGTGTATAGCATTAGCCTGTCCTCTGCCTGAAACAGCTGAGAAGCACATCTGGGGGAAGATGCTGTGATGTCCAGCCAACCACAATTTTTATATCTGAATTTTGTCTATTCAATAAATTTGTACTATTACCCATAGCACTACTGGTTCTGTGTCCACTATTCATAGCAGCTGCAGCCTTACTTATGCTTCTTCTCTCTGGCTTTGTTCTGTGTTTGGATAGTGGCTACACTGTTGAAAGCGTGCACAGCTCCAATCTCTGCCAATTGCTTCCTCCCTGCTTCCAGCACAAACCACAGCTCTACATCACTCTTACAGCATGACCACATCACTCTTTCTATCACTCTTAGTTACAATTTCAAATCTTGGCAGAACCTCTAGCCCAGTCCTTTATATCTAGACTCCCAGGTTCTGTGGCACATGCTGCAGACCAATTATTTTCAGAGGTCAATAAAGGAGAGAAACAACTGCTCTCTGTAACTGGTCCTTCACTCTGAAGAAAATATAAAGACTTCTGGTATCTCATACTTCAGGGTTCAATTTCAAATGCTGCTGCTCCCAAATCAAGATATCTGTCCCACTGAACCTGGCTGATTTGTACATGGTTTCTCCTTTGTCCTGTCTGAAGGACCCTGTCATTGAGTCATAGGGGGGGTTTTAACCATGAACCTGTGGGACCCCACCATGCTGTACAAGCAATCTTCACAGCATCCGCTGTCCTTCTGGCTACTAACCTACCACAGAAACTCAAAATTAAGAGCAAACCATTCTGTTTACACCGATAAAAAAGTTAATCAACTGTTAGAAGACACTGCACACCTTGCAAAAATCACACTGATACTGAATCACTCTAATTTTATATTGAATTAATTTCATTGACTTCAAGAAGTCATTCTTGATTTGCCCCACAATACCAGAGGGCAGAATGAGAAAACACATGTGAGTTTTAATGCATTTTTCCTCTTCTCCTAATTTGCATTTTAAGACTCAAAAAAATAATAAAAAAGAATGCATTGTCACTGCTGTCTGTTTTGTGGAGATGGAACTTTGCAACAACCCTCTGAACAGCCCAAGATAGCATTTTTCACTGTACTAAATTCACTGAACATAATTTTAGGATAAAAATAAAACATGTCGCTCTGCCTTGCCTCCTCCCCATCCCCCTATCCACTTCCTTTTGACATCTGCATGCCAGCCTAACCCAAAAAAATCTTTCTTAGTAAGCCCATCTTTAGGATAAGGCCCTCCTGATACTATGAGGAAATCTTAATTGATCTTGGGCATGAAGGGCTTGTACTCAGGACTTCTGTTTCTGTCTTGTAATTCCAGTCTAGTGTATAACTACTCAGAGATGACTTACATGGGGATTTGAACTCCTGTGGGCTTCTGATGCTTAGGAAGCTCTTTTACTGACACAGCAAATATAAACCATTCAAGATGTATTATATAGCTACGTAATGACAGATAAGAAGCATTTATGTGAGTAAACTGCTGCACTATTATTGAAATTGAAGTGGTAGACATGCCTGCTTAGAAACAAGTGTCCAAGGTGTGTTTATAGGGTTGGGGAAGAGGCTGTGGATCTTCCAGTTTTAACCCTCCTGTATGTGCAGCTGTTAATGAGCACCTCGAATCTATAAAAAACCTCCAATACAAACATGTCAATGTTAGGTACTTACTTGTAAAGCTTATCTATCCATTCAGGCCAGCACAGGTACCTGTGTGGTCCCCAAAGGAAAACAAACAAGGCTGCTGCTAAGAGTTGCACTGGCTGGGCTTAAAGCAGGCAACAAATAGAGTTTGAACTTGTCACCTTCATAAGTAATTAACGCCTCAAATGTGGGCAAGTAACCTTCACGATTGTTAAAATTACCTCCAGTTTGTCCTGGCAGGAAATCTAAGACGCTGTGGGAATCAAGCACTTGAAGTTTCCCCCAACCACACACATAGCTGTCACACACACTCACTCCTTCAGGCACACTTCAGATTCCCATCCATGGGTGGGTCCCGGGGGCCTGTGGGCACTGACATGCTGGGGCTTTCAAACAGGCTGTTACATCCTGTGAG